ATGGTCCATTTGCCTGATCCAACACTGGCTTCTCTTATGTTCTTATAAGAGGGAATTGGATAAGCATACGGAGCAGAGGTCCATCAGTGGCTCTGAGCCACAAGGTATAGATAGGAACTCTCAGTCTGGGGCAAGGGATGCTCTGTATTCTTGGTGCTTGGGGGGGGCAACAGTGGGAGGGCTTCTAGTGTCCTGGCCCCACTGGTGGACCTCCTGATGGCACCTGGTATTTTTGGCCACTGTGTGACACAGAGTGTTGGACTGGGTGGGCCAGTGGCCTGATCCAACATTGGCTTCTCTTATGTGCTTGTGTTCTTAAGTGTTTATACAGGCTGCTGTACAAGGAGAAGCCTGAGAAGTCCTGTGGAACCTGTTATGGCAATGAACAAGCTCTTGCACAAGCGGCTGGAGAACGGCGCTCACAGCTATTTTTCTCATGTCGATGGTCCTCCAGATAATCCATCATCTCAATTTATTGGTGCAGCCTCGCCAGCGAACTTCACAGGTCCCTGCGCCGCTCACCCTGGGGCTACGTTGGCTTCCTTTAATGGGCAAGATCCCACCGACTTTAAGCACTTTCAAGTCTCATTGATTTAAATGAGAGATTCCAGCACACGATTAGCTTTTCCCATGAAAATAAGTGGTGTTCAAAAGCGGCTGAACCTTCTCTGACTCATGCCCTTGTCTTTTTCGGCGGTCAGCAAAGCTCACAGCGCTCGCCCCGGCAAAAACAAGGATGCCGAACGTAGACGCTTCCGTTCAGGCCAGAACTCTTAGGGAACTGCCCTCAGCATCTTACACGGGTCTGTTCCGTGAGGCTTCCTTCCAGGAGGTGGTTCTTAGCAGCCCCGTGGCCAGGATTTTGTGGCTTGTGGGGCAAAAATTTTTCTAGTAGGGCTGGTAGGGCTGAAGACTAGGAACCGGAAGTTACTTACTGTCGCTTCAGTGGATGTACATAAGAACATAAGAGACGCCAATGTTGGATCAGGCCAAAGGCCCATCCAGTCCAACACTCTGTATCACACAGTGGCCAGAAATACCAGTGCCATCAGGAGGTCCACCAGTGGGGCCAGGACACTAGAAGCCCTCCCACTGTTGACCCCCCCAAGCACCAAGAAGACAGAGCATCCCTTGCCCCAGAGCCCCTATCTATACCTTGTGGCTAATAGCCACTGATGGACCTCTGCTCCATATGCTTATCTAATTCCCTTTTGAAGCCGTAATAGTACAATGGCCACGCTAACACTGACAGAGTGTTTCAAACACCCCAGAACTCTCGTGTGTGAATGCTAAGAGGAGTCACATGTCTCCACCAGCGGCAATTTCCTGGTATCGCACATAGCCCTTCGCAGTGGCACACACCAGCTGATGTTTGTGAGGTTCATTACAGCCTTTTAAAAAATGCATAAAAAATAATTTAAGAAAACGTCTTCAGGAGGAAATCTTTTGGGGCTGGCCCTATAAGGAAGGGGCGGAGCCCTCAATTGCCCCACTGTGGCTACGGGCTGGGTTCTCAGCATGGAACTGCTAACAAAGCAGTGGAGTGGGTCCAAACACCTTTTCTGCTGGTGGAAACAGAGGGAGGGGGGTCTGCTCTGACCACCCAAAAAAGCTATGCTGGGAGTTACTGGACCAGCACGGACAAAAGCCACATGGGACAGGGGCTATATTAAGGAGGAGAATTTGGCGAGACTTAGCAAAAGAGCTGGCTGGATAGCCCAGCACCAATTATCTTCCAAGCGTATGTACTTTTTAAGCAAGCTCTACTGGATATCGGCCGCTGACCTGCTTGGCCCAGGCTAGCCTGAGGTCATAAGATCTTGAAAGCTAAGCAGGGTCAGCACTACTTGGATGCGAGACTACCAAGGAAGTCAACTACTGCTACGCTGATGCAGGCAATGGCAAAACCACCTCTGTACCTGTCCTAGAAGGCCCAGGTTAATGTGGTCTCAGCAGATCTAGGAAGCTCAGCAAGGTTGGCCCTGGTGAGGGATGGGAGACCACCAAGGAAGTCCGGGGTTGCTACACAGAGGCAGGCAATGGCAAGCTCAACTCTGCCCTGACCTAGATGGCCCAGGCTAGCCCAGTCCTGTTAGATCTCGGAAGCTAAGCAGGGTCGGCCCTGGTTGGTACTTGGATGGGAGACCACCACGGAAGTCCAGGGTTGCTACGCAGAGGCAGGCAATGGCAAGCTCAACTCTGCCCTGACCTAGATGGCCCAGGCTAGCCCAGTCCTGTTAGATCTCGGAAGCTAAGCAGGGTCGGCCCTGGTTGGTACTTGGATGGGAGACCACCACGGTTGCTACACAGAGGCAGGGGATAGCAAACTACCTCTGAACATCTCTTGCCTTCAAAACCATATGGGGGTCACCATAAATCGGTTGCGATTCGGCATCATTTCCCACCCCTAAATATCTGCAAAAGTGTGTCCTAGTCTTGAGGTCCGGGTAGGCTAAAGACAAAAGGCCATATAGCCCGGGTAGGTTGCGATAATAAATCTGCAACCGGTGTACTTGTGTATTCTAATGACCCTACTGGCAATTAACATGTAATGTTTTTATTATTTGGGCTTTAAACGCGGTATTCAAAAATAAATATGTGGAAGCACAATTCAACAGACAAAAGCATTCTGTGCTTTTTCATTATTCGGTGCCTTTAAAAGGCTACATCCAATTGGTCTCCCGCTGTCAGCTGTAAGGTCACAGAAATTGATAACCCTTACAAGCTATGATTACGGGAGTCCGTCTGCGTCTCGCAGATAGCGCACTTTGTGAATTAATCCTCCAAAGGCAAATATATTGTAAGTAGCTTGTTATCTCCAAAGTGCTAAATTGAAGAATACACAGGATTATATTGACAGAAATTACATTTTCTGTAATAGGGTTTAATATATCTGAAACCTCCCCCAGAGTCCCTATAAACTGAGAAAGGGGCTTGGTTAATTTGGGTGCTTCAGGACCAGATTTATTCACTAAAATGGATTAGGCCATGTCATCAAAGCCTCGACAATATTAATCTCTGACACTTATTGAATAAAAAAGCCAGAAATAAATACTTTTTTTTTTTGGTTTTGAGACTGGCAATCTTTCATTTCTCATTCCCCCCTCTCTCCCTACCCCTAGGCTGCCGGGACCATTTTCTGGACACTGCTTCAAAGGGGATAAGGTTTCCACATCGTAAACAGTAATCTAAAAATATTAGGACAATTAATTAGATACACTTAATTTTGCACAGCATTGGATTTCCATCTACTGCAGACAGAAACCTTGCTCTCGCATGCTGGGCGAAACCTGCATTTCGGCACAAGAACAAATGGCGATACATGAAATCGTTATAAGTCAAAAAGGGCGGTTTTTTTTTTTTGCCAACTTAAGACCCTTGTCATCAGAGACATCGAGAGGTTTATTTGTTTTTTACAACAATTTTTTTTCCTCCTCCCACCTCACCCCGGTCAGGGGAGGAGGCAGTCACGCAAGTACCAAGACTGATTTCTTCTTAAGCGAGATTTTGCACAGATCTGTTTTCTTTTGGGTCTCCTTTAAAGGGCAGCTTTGAAGCTATTTGTCTACAACTTTGTCTACCGTAAGTGTAAACCCGTGCTCAGTTAGGCTACTCAGTTTCCTTGGATTTGACTGGGACTTAAATAGCGCAAGACGTGGGCTGGCGACAGTATACTCGGGGGGGGGCAGCGTGCTGCAGCGCCCATGCTCCCCGCTGCATGCGGGGGTTTACTAGGGAAACATCTGCAGGCAGTTGGGAGTATGGGTAGTGCGAAGGCTCATGAGCAGACAGGGGAAGGAGACATGGCAGGTGGGAGGCATGCAGGCGGGTGGAAGGGCATGAGTGCTCGTGGTGGGCAGAGGAGGGGAGGCTGGGAACTGTTTGCCCAGGGCTCCCCCACAACCTGGAACCGGCCCCGTAGCAAGACTGCAAACAGCAGTTTCATAAGGAAAAGAGAGCTGGGTGGAAAGAAGGCCTGCAAAGAGAACTATAGACACCACAAATGTATTTGTCATTTCCTTGCTGTTGAGGAATCTACTTTCTCAAAAGGTGGCCTAAAACAGATCAGTTCTATTCAGGCCCGGTGCAAACACTTCTCTACCGAAATCCTGCTGTTTACCAGTAAGTAGCAAAGCTTCTGCAGCCGTCAAATAACTCGTTTCCCATAAGAGGAAAACATTCTCTAGGCTATGCTGGTTTTGCATCCATAAACGAGGAAAGAACTGAAGGGCGCGTCACCATCATGCAAATCGTCCATAGCCCATTGCCAGAGGCTGGAATACTGATTTCTGTGTCAACGTTAAAAAGTAAAAAAACCAAATAAAACAACTTACCAATTGTTGACTTGAAGTATTGTGAGCCCCGTGTCTTGTGCCAACTGCTTTTTCTGTTCTTCTGAAGGGTAAGGATGCTGGAAGACAGCAAAGCAAACGGTAACATAAATGCAAAGGGTAGGGGAAATATTACTCCAGGAGATTTCAAAACGATAGTTTTAACCAGCCGTTTTGTTGAATCATAAAAGTGCAGTAGCTGTAATTAAAGAGGAAAATGCTGAGGTGTGTCGCTCTCATAATTATTAATGGGCTACTACATCATATAATTAATGGCAGTAAAAGACAAGCCAATTATAAAGATTAGTGAAGTGGAGGGGGAAAAAAACCCCGCTTAGGATACAAGCGAGTAAGTACCTCAAATACTGACGGAGGTTAGCTGTAGCAAAGTTTAAAATTCCTCTTCAAGGGACTCACCCACGGTACCCCCGTTTTATTGCATCTTACCCGGTTCAAATGATGTTCTTCTGAACATCAGCAGCTCCTTAGTTTCTAGCTTTATGACATCTTTCTGCCTAACATTTACACTCTCTGTGAATTTGGTTGTGATGCAACACCACCCAGCAAACACCATGGCAGGATTATCAGACCTTCGAGATAGGGTTGGCAGCTCAAAGTTGGGAAATTCCTGGAGCTTTGAGGAGTGCAACACCACTGGTGGACCTCCTGATGGCACCTGGTATTTTTGGCCACTGTGTGACAGAGTGTTGGACTGGATGGGCCATTGGCCTGATCCAACATTGGCGTCTCTTATGTTCTTATATGGAGCAGAGGTCCATCAGTGGCTATTAGCCACAAGGTATAGATAGGGGCTCTGGGGCAAGTGATGCTCTGTATTCTTGGTGCTTGGGGGGGGAGTCAACAGTGGGAGGCCTTCTAGTGTCCTGGCCCCACTGGTGGACCTCCTGATGGCACCTAGTATTTTTGGTCACTGTGTGACAGAGTGTTGGACTAGATGGGCCTTTGGCCTGATCCAACATTGACGTCTCTTATGTTCTTACGAGTGGAGCCTGGAGAGGGCGGGGTTAGGGAAGGGGAGGAGCCTCAGCAGGGTATAATGCAACTGAGCCCACCCTCCAAAGCAGCCATTTTCTCCAGAGGAACTGATCTCTGTAAACTGATCTCTCTCTCTCTCTCTCTCTATATAGCTCGATCTCGCTCTCTCTCTCTCTCTCTCTCTCTCTCTCTCTCTCTCTCTCTCTCTCTCTCTCTCTTTTGTTGTGATCCTATACATTTTCAATTTAGAAAACACTCTGTTATCACTTGTACCTCTTACATACAACATCTAAATTCCAGTCTAGTAGCATCTTAGAGGCCCACACATTTTTTGGGGGGTATAAGGTATCAGGTATCTGATGAAGGGAGCTTTGGCTCCTGAAATCTCATATCATGAAAATATCATTGGTCTCTACGGTGCTTCAGGAGTTGAATGCAGTTGGTCTCCTGCAAACCAACATGGCTACCCCCTGAAACTTACAACACATAAGCATTCAGCAGGTTTTTTGGAAATTCCACCCATACGAAAATACTGATGAATTTTATTTATGATTTGCACAAGTTTCTCAGGAAAAGACAGCAGTGCTAACGGTGTAACTTAATTCATAAAAGTCACGTTTCTTCATTTCTGGAGTAATCAGACAGAACGTATTCGATGCTTCACTAGCAACTTCTCACTCATGAGTCCAGAAAAACTTGAAGCCCATCTGTTCCATGGACCAAGTTGACGGTCGGACACTCTTGAGCTACTTGCTGCTTTTCAACATTTGCGAACGTTAAACCATTCTTTGGAAATGATAAACAAGATTTTAAGTAACTCTGTATCTATTTGCATACTGCCTTGCACTTTTAAATAGTACCCAGACCTTCTGTGTTTATATTAATTAAATGTATGCCTTTACATCCACCTAGTTTTGATATAGGAATAAGTTGTATTTTTAGAAATTTTCCATACGTATTGGACCACTGTTGAAGAAAGCGTGAGAGAACTCATTCGAGCACTCAGTTAGATGGCTGAGTTGAGGATACTTTCTGTTTGCTTATTACAGGAGATTCATTCCGTTTAGGTTTTGTGGTGGTATAGCGAGGCCGTAAGGTTTTCCAGGCAAGAGACGTTCAGAGGTGGTTTGCCATGGCCTTCCTCTGCTTAGGAACCTTGGATTCCTTGGTGGTCTCCCATCCACGTACTAACCAAGGCTGAACCTACTTAGCTTCCAAGATCTGGTGAGATTGGGCTGGCCTGGGCCCACCAAGTAAGGGCTGTTTAGGTTTTACTCATTTTCAAATAGATCTGTTTTCCTACATGGACTCTTCTTTCTCAACTTTGTTTTTTTTTGTTTGGCTTTCTTAGGTCATCTCATGAGACAAAGAGATGTCAGCTCTATGGGAAAGAACATAACGATGCATAGTGCTCTGAAGACCGACGCAATCAGGATGCCATGGGTATACCTGTCTACATCAAGCAGAGATCGCTGTCTTTCTAAGCGGCGTATCAAGTTTTGTTCTGTGGCCCCGGCCAAACTGCAAGTTTCTTTTGCTTATGCGCGATGAGAGTCACGCAATTACCAGCTTTCCAGGATGGGCCCTGCATGGATGAATATTCTCTCCCAACCTGCTTTGGTACGATCTTCCTAGAAAAATCATATTCAAAGTGGATTTGGGATCCATGTGGACGGCAAGATGCTGATTTTCACACCTGCCCACACACACATCCAGTGCCATTCTCTGTGTTCCTGCCATCCCCCCTCACATACCTCTAGCAGGCTTTGTGCTGGCTTTTTAAAAAACATTAGGCATTATTGATTTATTTAAAACATCTATTTGCTGTAGGATTACCCTATTTTGAAAAGCAAAAAAAAGGGACATATTTCCCGACTGACTACTTTAAACAAGTGATCCGTATGACAAATCTCATTTTAAATACCCCCCTACTATGTCAGTTGTGATAACTGCTACTAACTAGGGATATTCCTAACCTTCCAACCCAAAAAGAGGAGATTTTCATCAAAACATTTTTAAAAGAGCCCCAAAGAGGACGGGCACACCTCTTTATAAAGATCTAAAAATAGGACATCTGGCGCTCTAGGCGGCCTACAACATAGATAAAACACTTAAAAGATATTAAAAACATTAAAAAAAGAAACTTAAAACCACAACTCAGGAACTCTAGTAAACTTAACTGAATGCTGTCTTAAATAAAACCATCTCCGCATGGCCCCTAAAGATCAAAAGTGAGGGGGGGGTGCATCTCCTTGGGAAGGTTGTTCCATAACTGGGGGGCTGCCACTGAAAAGACTCTTTCCTGTGTACCCACCAAACGAGCTTCTTTGATCGATGGGACAGACAGGAGGGTCTCTCCCTGTAGTCTTAATTCCAACACAGGAACACTATGGGAAAAGATGGTCCTTCAAATCATACTATGTCTACTACTTTTTCTTTTAAGCCAGCGAAAGGTACTCCGGTCGCTGGGGACACGTACGAGGGGATACCTCAAAGAATCCTCCTGTGTGGGTGCCTCCATGACCTATGCATTCACAACAGCAATGAGACGGCAAGAGAAGGCAAGAGTCCCTTATGTGGAAGCAACCTTAGTGGGTATCCTTTTCTAACACCCGGTTCTGGAGCGTGCCAGGGCTATTTTTGGGCAGGAACGCACAGGAACGGAGTTCCGGCTGGCTTCCAAGTTGGCCACGCCCAGCAGGAACTCATTAGCATAATAGGCCACACCCAACAGCAGAAACTCATTAGGATTGGCTACATTAGGGGTGTGTGGTCTAACATCCGAAGGAGTTCCTGCTACAAAAAAGCCCCTGGGTTCGGACAACAAACAAGGTAAACAGAATAAGAAGCAAAAGGTGGGTGTGGCTGGATGAGTACACTTCTGGTAACACATGGGGTGTGTGGCCTAATATGCAATGAGCTATGCGGTTAGGGGTGTGGCCTAATATGCTAATGAGTTCCTGCTGTTGGGTGTGGCCTATTATGCTAATGAGTTCCTGTTGGGCTTTTTCTACAAAAAGAGCCCTGAGCGTGACAATATGTTGTCGGAAATGATGTCAGACACCACAGAGTCTCTGCACTGATGAGTTCCTCTTCTAACATGATCTGCCTCTCGGACTATTTCTGCTCTACAAGGTACTGGAGGCTATGCCTGCTCCTCGCGCCACGGGACGAGCCCACCTCGCCACACTGGTGCATTGACTGCAAGTAGGAAT